TGTTTTGCACAACGCACAGCGTGTCGGCACGACAACCGTCAATCAGGCGGCTCCCTCGCCAAAGCATTTACAGGTTTTGGAAATGGGCGCAAACGCGAGGCGACCCGCATTATTGGGCGCCCCCCCGTCCATTTGGGAGAAAATTGAAGTGCGCCTTACGCTCGTGAAAATACGCTGAATGTCAAGCAATACCCACCAAAGATAACGACAGATGAGAGGACCAAACACTCCCCCGGCCGGCACTTGTACCTGCTCGCTGTCTGTGGAGGGGAGAGTCAAAATGGAGGGAAGTAACTTCAGACAAAGATCTTTCCACTTCCTGTCCATATATTTCCACCGTCCGTTGGGTCGGATGCCCCCCTTCTTGATTACAGACGAACGCGTCGACATTATGAGCGGTGATCGTTGAAATGGCGCAAAAGTTGAAAACACTTCTCAGATGAGTTGAACGCTGCAAAAGTTGGACTATTTTTAAAATTGACTACATTACTCCCCAAAGTTGAAACAATTGTCATCGGCCTGTCACCCCGCCAGTGCACCTGCGTACCTGAATGGCACGCCCCCCCCCCCCCCACACACCGCCTTCCCCCTCGTGAGTTGATCTCTGCCGCATCGTTTGTCAGGAGACCTCATTTCAGCCAGAATCAAAGGATTTAACTCGGCGTCTGTGTTTTGTCTCTCCCTTTGGCTTTTCTGCGACATTTTTATTTATTTATTTTTTTGTTCTGAAAACTTGGCAAGGAGAAGAGAAAAGGAGTGCGAGAACAGAAGACGTGTTCCAATTTCCGTTGACTTGATAGCACTCCGTCTCAGGCGGAAGTGGGACGGAACAGCTTCTGGCTGGCAGAAAATGGAACGTGTGGTGAGGAGCACGCATTGGCCCTGATGTTGCAGGGAGTCAATAAACTAACACGGATTCATAATAACTTATGAAATGCAATTCGTGGTCAAAGGCTCCTTCAATAAAAACTTTCACGATTGCCTCAAACTGATTCATACAAATACAAGGAAAGTGCTTTTGGTAGATTGTCTCTTTGTTGTAGCAATGTTTATTTGTATTTTTTTTCCCCTCATTTTAAAATGTTTGTAAGCAACATGCATTTGTGGGATGAACAGCAGAGCTGACTACGTGGGTTGTCCATAAATATATAGATTTATATAAATAATATAAATGTTGATCATCAAAGTTCACGTTCACTGTAAATGAAAGAGATTTTTTTTTTTTTTTAAGGGACAAAACAGCCCGTCTAGCAAATTGAATTCTTTTTTTTTTTTTTTTTTTTAAGGGACAAAACAGCCCCTGTCTAGCAATTTCAAACAGAGTGTATAATTTGTCTCACTTTGGTTTTTTTTTTTTTTGTTCTCTTGCATTTATTTGATCGCTGACTAATGAACGAAGCTGTGCAGCGCTCATAATCGCACTCAAATTAAAATCCTAAGGTAGTAAATGACTTTGTGTCCACCAGCAGAGTGAAGGACTGAATTAAACTCAGCTGAGCATCAGCTACGATGTCATTTCGGCTTTAGAATACGATTCATCTCTCTCGCTCTCGTCTGGTGCTGATTACATCGCCGCTCTTTTTCATTTGGCCCAGCAATCAACCTCCCGGCCCTCAGTGGCCCCGCACGTCATTTGTTACAGCGGCCCGCTCGGCGGCAGCTCACGCGGTGTGGAAAGACTCCAAAGTCTCTCCGTCTCTCTCTGAGCCACACGTCGAGTGCATCGACGGGTAGCTGGGTGGGGGCGAGGCATTGGCATCTCTTAAGTTTGCGAAGCCTGCCGCGTCCCCGACGGCTCATCGTTGACATGATGACGGCGCGGGACGTTTCGCTTGAAGATGATTCTTGATTCGATTGCACTTTGGCTGCTTCACAGTTTGATGATGTTTTTTCGCGGCGGCGTTTGTAGTTTTCTGACTCCAGCGATCACCCTTAATGAAGCATTATTGTCTGCTAAGTAAGAGTTATTAGACCGCTCCCGTGTTCAGAAATGAAAATGCAATTGTGTTCAAAGTCCGGGGGGAGGGGGGGGTGAACGGCGAAATGTTTTATGACGGCGTGCCAGTCGAGGCCTGAAGAAAAAAGGCAAAATGGTCATTTTGGGGGCTTCTGGTCAAACTGTTGGGACGGGAAGGGACTGCACACAAATAAATGTCATCTGCGCGTGTGCAACAGTGTGGCCTATTTATTTATTTTTTTTGTTGTCTATCGGGTATGTTTTTATTAATTCATGAACTTAATGATCTGCTGTCGATCACTGTCGAAGTTACCTGGCAACAAGGGGAATACCGGCATGTATTTTTTTTTAGTATTTCAAGCACCGTGCAAGACCCTCTGCGGGTCCAGGGGAGGCTTGAGTGCGCAAGCGCGTGTGCATAAGGGTTCATCTCGTGAAGGTGATGGTACAGACAGGCTCTTTGCTCCGCCGAGTTCGCAGTGCCCTCGTCAAGTTTAATGATGAATTGGGAAGGCTCAGCTCACTGGGAGGAGGAGGGATGGGGAGTGGAGATGATCAGATTGTTCTGTCTCTGCTCGGAGTGCTGCTACGGTACCAAACTGAAAGCAAACTGGTCTGCGCAGAGCTACCAACCTAGAAAAATTCACATCCTGAACAACCATCGGTCCTAAAATCGGACTCAGCACAACATCCTCCGTATTGGAGTGATGATCAAATGTTTGGATGAAATCAGAAGCTCAAACAAGCTAGATCCCCCCCCAAAAAGTCGACAAAGCCACTCAAATTTCAATGAGTAAGCAACAAGTAGGAGCCACAACAACAACAACAACAACAACATGAAGCCCACTTTCGGGACAGATGTACCCAGGACAACTGTATTGCTGAAGAAAGGCAGGAATCAAGTGTGGAACGGACTGAGATGTGATTTGTTGATGCCTCTGAAGGGGTTCTGTTTCTGGGAGAGAGGAATGAAAAGCAGATGAACTCATAGGTGAAGGGATACGCCCGCTGGGTTCACGACGGATCCAAAAAGTGAAACCCGGACAGGTCCCCGAATGCTGGAAGGCGCGCCCATTGCTCCGTATCGAGCAACTGGAGGATGTGCGACGCTCCCGGTTCACTCCGCTGATCTCGGTCCGTATTCGCCAGGCAGCGTACTGAACCTCCGGTTGTTCTGTTGCCGCGTTGTCATTATTTGAACCACGCGTTCAATTTCCTCCCATGGCAACGTGACGGCCATCAAATCATTGCGGGCGTCTCGTGCGTGAGGCATTTGAGTATTTTGAAAGTGGAAAGGTGCCAAGTGAACGCCGGCTGGTTGCCACGATCATTCCTCCTCCCCGGTTTCAGATGACTGAATGCACTCGGATAACCGTGACAAATTTGCAGAGCGGATGCGTTCGCAGGATAGCAACATCAACAAAGCGTTGTGACGCGATGACGTATGCTGCAGCCTATAAATCATGACCTGTAACTGCATTTCAACATGTCTTTGGTGCACGGCGGCATGTGTGAGGACATATTATGAATGAGGGAGAGACGGCGTCTACCGATGTCCAGCTCATACACATCAGTGCAGTCAGACTAGAATATGCAGCAGAGGATTTCACAGTCGAGCCGCAGAAGGAACATCACCCCAGGTACACACACACGCACACGCACACACACACGCTGACAGAAAGAAGTGCAGCGATAAGCTCTGTGCGTGCGTGCGTGTGTGTGTGTGTGTGTGTACCCTCCCGACCACTAATTAACTTATTTAAAGTGCTGGCGCATAATTAATTGACAGCAGAAGACTCTCAACGTGGCACTCTCATCCATTTGCCGACTACCCGATATGATTAAGAACAAGCGTGGAATGATTGATGAGTTTAGTCTGCAGAATCAACAAGAATGTAGACGAGATGACAAATCCATTTACATGTTAATGTCGTACTTTAAAACTATAAATCCCGTGATGTGTTATGATGGCGAAAGGCAGAGTCAGTGTACTCGGGGGTGTTCATATTCAGCCTCGGAAAACAGATGGGACGACATTGACAACAGCAGTTTAGACCGAGTAGACAAGAAGGGCCTCGGGTTGGATTCCCCTCACCAGCTTGACGGCATCGGCGGCGGTGAGAAAGGAGAAACTTTTGCTTGTAACGACAGAATTTTTTTTTTTTCTTTTTAGTTGAAAATGGCTTTCCTTAACGACTATCCCACATCACAGAGCGCCCAAAGGTAGAATCTAGCACAGGTAGCTCGGATTTTAGTGCCGTTAGTGATAAAAACTCAGAACTTGCATCATTCTCATTAAAATCCAAACCTGAGCCCTGTCTTTCTCCAAAACACAACTCCGCTGCAACTTCCATTGAAAATCTTAAAAAGGATAACTATCGGCAACAGCAAGTGAGCAAAAACAGCTCCGAAGAGTTCTTGAAAATCCTGAGCATCGTGCGTTGCGGCAGGTCGATCGTGTTGATAACTGTTGATTTTCAATCTGTGAAAAACAAAACTCGGCACTCGAAGCCCGTTTCGGGCAGGGGTGTCACGGCAGCTGGGGGTGAATCGCAGGGAAAAATGAGATGTGCAAACAGACGTTTCATTCACACATTTGGGCTGGACAATTTGAAAGAATCATCAAGAGCTTCTCCAAAACAATTCCGGCGAAAACCGTGAGTAGGCTAAGTGAGTCAAAAAATGAATCCTGAATAAAACTCTGGTAACATGCACTTGAATGTGGTTAGAACCCAATGAAGGGGCTAAAAATAGTCTCAAATTGGATGACGCTGCACCCTCTGCAGAATCCAATCAAAGCCTGGCTCATGGTCAGGATCAGTAAAGGTCCACTCGAATGCGAAACGCTTCATTCTGAATCTGGCCTTTGGTCTAAAAGAGTGAACCCAAAAAGTGGGTGGCGGGTCCACTCATCATTGGAACATTGCCAGCGCCGAGATTCATTTGCTTTGGAGCATTCACTGTCTCGCGCATATCCTTATTTCTTCCGCACCCCCAACCCCTCTCATTCCCCGCACCCCCCCCCCCCACCAGCACCACTCACCGTGTGCAGAGTTGTGAGCGGCTAATAGACAGCAGAGCAACAGCAGGTTGAGTGCCCTCGTCTTCCTCAGCATCTCGCAAACATCTCCGTAACATCCAAACAAAAGCAGTTCCATGGTGTCCCGAGCCAGTCCGTCTGAGCCCCGATGAACAGCAGGGACACCCGAACCTCAAATTCCGCAATCTCGAAAATCCTCCACGGGATCTAATTGCCACTTGAACATAGGAACGTGCCAAAGGGAAACACGGGACGTTGAGTTGGGCGGGTGGGGAGCAGAGCGAGAGAGAGAGAGGACGGAAAGAACTCCCTCGTCTCCTCCGAAACGAACCCACAACCGGTCGGGCTGGGCTCCCCGAAAACAAAATAGCAATCCCGAGCAGATGTGGAGCTCTCGAATTTCCTCTCGTTTGGAAAGAAAGCGATAAGTTCCGGCAAACTATGACGGCCGAGTCTCCATGCCTCCTTCCTGCGCGAGGCGGCGGGCTCCCACTTCAGTCGTGGTGGAAAAAAAGGGGTTTCAAATCCACGGTGCCTACCCGGAGGTCTGCTCCGTCTGCCGGGTAGGACGGATGGAGAACGCGTCAAGTGGAGGGAGGGTGTCCGACACACGCTCTCTCGCGCTCGCTCTCTCTCTCTCTCTCTGATTGCCAAAGAGGAGGGTGTTGGGGTGGCGGAGGCGGGGTATAGAGAGACCTAGAACCGACACGCAGCCATTGATCCACCGTGGGTGGAGGTAAAGCCTGGAGTTGAAGCAAAGAGGCAACCCGGCGGGAGCGAAGCAGCTGGAAGCCCAAGCCGCCGAGAAGGTGCAAGAGCGGGGGGGGGGGTGAAGATTAGCTGAACTCTCCTGCCCTCTCTGGTCACAGCGGGAATTTAAAACACTTTTCAGCCAGCCGCATGGGACCACAGTCACGTGACGAAAAATCCCCGAATGGGAAGATTTGCAACATGATTTTGTTCCCACGTTGACAAGACAACATAAAAAGGGCACATATGACAAAAAAAAAAAAAAAAAAAATGTTCATGTTGAATATGGATTACATTTCCCAAACACCCCCAAATCGGAAATATTTTTAATTTTTTTTTTTTTATGTCGACTGTGGTTCTTACGAGTCCAATTTAACACCTCAACAAAGCACATAAAACATGACTTTGACATGTCCTCACAAAACAGGTGCCTTGACATTTGGCACAAGCAGTTGAAATGCGTGAGAACGCCCCCAGGTAGCAAATCCATCATCAACTCGCACAAAGCGATGCACGATGCCGCAAACACCTTGGCGAATCGGCGCTCCTGTCACACATCGTTTGGCCTTTCACTGGCAGGATAACCGCTAACGTCTACGTGTGTGCGTCTGTTGTGTGTGGGCGGATGAATCATTCAAGTGACAGCAAAACTGGAAGAGGATGTTGACCTCTGGAGTCCAGACGCAACGTATGATTGGAAGCAGAGATGCTAAAACGCACGCTGGCTTCAATAAGGTAGCATGACTTAGCATAGTGGGCCGCTGAAAAATGGATGGCGGGCCACAGTTTGTAGTTTGGTTCCAGACGATTTTATTTTGTGCGAGCACAATTCAACAAAACACTTTTTTTTTCCCTCCCAGTGTCCTCTTGAAATTGTGTGCGTGACATTTTTCTTTGGTGGCGTGCCGCGAGCTTTTTGTCATGTAAAATGGCTGCCTTCGACCAATAAATATTGCGAAGCACCGTGTCGGATGATGTTCGGGCCATAATATCGAGATTATGTCAGCATGTTTGCGCCTCGCCCTTTATCTAACGTTGCCCGTGTTGCAGAATTTCTTTATCCGGGGGGGAGACAATGCCTTTGGGACAAAGGATTTTCATCCTCAGACGGAAGAAAGACCGCCCCGAGGACTTGTAAACCACAATGAGCATCAACATTTTGCTTTGTTTGACTCTGGTGTCTGCTGCCGGGTCAGCGTTCCAAATGAGAAACGGACCTGAACTGTCTTACCTGGATAAATAAAGAAATCCAAACCATTTCAGAAAGAAAATAGCTCGGGGGAATAAGTCCGCGACAATGTGTAGAAAAAAAGCAATCATTCCATTTGATTTCATTTTATCGTCAATTCCTCTCGACTCCATATACTGTTTTGTGTATGTGTGTGTGCGCGCGTGTTAAAAATAAAGATTGACTGCCTCAGATATGCCGCCGTTGCCATGACAGAGAATGCTTCAGTTCAATCCACGTCATGCACGTTTTCATCTCGGAACGGATATTAATGTCTAAGGGGAAATTAAACAGGTGCGTCGTGTGTGTGTCTGCGCTTTGTGTTGGAGTCGAGCGAGCATCTGCGGCGGCGGCGGCATCGTTTTGTAGGGGAAATACCGGTCCTGCCCCACCAACATGAAACAGACGATGACAGCGAATTGGTGCGCCTCTTTTATGAAGCGCCCCGGTGGATCTGGCCGTTGTTTTATTTGGTCGAGCGCTGACCCTCACAAATGCCCACCGGGGCTGTGTTGACGCACTGCGAAGGCGGAGAGCCCGGCGGGCGGGAGCGGAGCCGCCGGCCTCGCTCTTATCGGGACGCAATAGCACGAGAGCAAAGCTCTTTAAGGCGTTTGCGTCGGCAGAAGCAGCATTTCCCCAACAGAATTTCAGAAGCTCAAAGCGACAAGAGGTTTCTGGGTAAAAAAAAAAAAAAAAAAGCCAGACAAATTGGCTTACATGAGCTGGATGAGTAAAGCAAATTGTTAGAGAGGAAAATCCCCGTTACAAAACCTGAAAAATGCAGCTTGAACACGATTGACTGGAAAAAAAAGGTTCCAACTCACGATTGCGCCCTGGTGAACACAAGCGCTGTGACTTGATGCATATTCCATGATGTCATCTCACGTGGCCTTTCGCCTATTTTAAATGATCGTTTTTTTGTTTTCTGCCGCTTAGCTACGCTATGAAAATAATTCATGAGACAGAAGCAAATTGACACCGCGGGGCAAACAAGGGGATCAAAGACCTCTCAAGAAGAAGAGAAGAAAAAAAAAACGATGGCGTTGCATTTGAAAATATGCAAACAATGAAAAATACACGAAAGACGCATCTGAAGACGCGCCTACCGCGTCAAATACAACATCAAACAAGAGCATCCATAAAGAGGCATCGGAGGCGCCCGCAGATCAAACACATAGCGGGAGTTCCCGATTTTCAGTCTGGCCGCCATTAACGCGACAATGTTAACGGGTGCCTCGCCCCTCCTCCTCCTCAGTATTCCGGTGGCAGCGGCAGAGAGCGCTGCCAGCCTCTATCGATCAGACGTTTAGCTGAATGTTCTCATCGAACAGCCGGCTGCTGCGGACGAGACGCACGTGGCCGGACTGAGAAGCAGCGGCGAGCTCACACCGACACGCAGACACGGACAAGGAAAGGAAGAAGCCGTGAAGGGAAATAAAGGGAGGCGTCGGCTCGGAAGGCTGGACCCAAAATTGCTGACCAAACGCAACATTGTTACAATACAATCATGAAATAGCCCTTGACCGTACACATGATGCACATCACCGCCATTTCAAGACTTAGGATGTATCTGATATCCTAAGCCTTGAGACGGTTTTGTTTCGTTGATGAATTTCCATCGCGTTCTATGTCGCTTGGCTGAATGGAATCGCTCACCTGTAGCAACCAACATAGTCAGTGTAATGTTGGGAGATAAGCCGGCCCTGTTTTTGTGCTCAGCGCAAATTTAGCGCAAAGTGCAGTCGAACTATATACATTTTTTTTATTCATTCCAACACTGGGCAGAAAACGAGGCCAGGAATAATTAAAAAAAGCTTTGCCTGGTTGGTGCGGTAAACGTTTTTTTTTCCCCCTCCTCCCCCCCAACGTGAGTTTAAAACATCAGCTCACTATATGTGATATTACGTGATGTCACTCACGCCGAAGAAGCGCCCGACTGTCTCTCCATCACGAACCCCGCATGCCTTGAGCATCAACGTCAGAGACATATCTCCGTTCATCCCGGTTGCCTTCGGCGTTCCATCGGGATTGCTCATCGGGCATAATCAGCAACGTGCACATCAAGTGCAATATAGCAGCCGTGCAGACGCGGCGACCGATCGACAGTTAGGTGGAGCGTATTAATCAGTGGGGGACAGTCAGGCGGGCAGAGTGATGGAGAGCAAGCTAATAGACAAGCTCCCTTCAGCGCCTGTGCTTTTGTGCGGGTGCGTGTGACCCTCAGGTCAAATCTATAATGGAAGATCCTCTCCTCCATCTCACTGCTTTGCCCTTTCCTCTGCTACCGATCCGATACGCCGCCCTTCTTTCCTGTGCACGTCCCATATGGTGATGCGGAGGAAGAAGAAATCAAGCGGGGGTTTTGCTTACAACATCTCTGCTATTTATCGCAGGTGAGAACCGGAAATTTTGGGAGAGATTTTAGGAAGCATCGTGGCAGTTGACGTGCTTGATTGGCTCACGCGGGCCAGACAGAATGATGTGGCGGGCCAGATTTGGCCCCCACGCTTTGAGTTGGACACCGGTGGCATGTACAATTGGAAAGGTCGCGCTAATGAAGGGCCCGGCGAGTATTTTCATTTCTTCGAAAATGTCGCAAGACTTGTGAAGCAAAAAATAGTCCATTCTTATTTATCTGACCAATTCTCGACATTTGCTTTGCTTTCAACCAAAGGCACAAAATAATGAACAAGCCTTGTTTCACACCCGAATTACCGAAAGGCTTGGTTTGCGCCGACCTGGTTGCGAAACATCATTGGTGAGAAAGCTCTAACCTGCGAGTGTGATGTCAAATTAATGTGAGGGAACTCTCGAGAGAGAGAGAGTCGCAGCTTTTGAAGCCGTCGGAAGCGGAGATCCAATTAGTCTCCCTCCACTGGCGTTACGCCGGACTCTTTACGCATAGCCGAGCTCTCGCCACCATCCCTCTCGCATGGAACAAACAAAATGATCTCCGAATTAATTAGCGAAACCCTTCATAACCTCATGTGTGGGGGGGGGTGGGGGGGGGAAGCATCAGTGCAACATGCAAATGATGACATACGTCCCAAATCACCTTTCAGGAGACCCTAAAAAAACGCCATGAAATGGACCAAATGTTGACATGGGAGGTTTTGGTCTAATCCAGCGATCGATACCAGAACTTTTAACAAGTCTCAGAGTCTCGGATTTGGTATTGATGTATTTTGTGAAATGACCAAATGTGGAACGCGGCCGTTGCCGTTGTTCTGTAGCGGGTAGAGTCATGAAATATTGTGCAGTGGAATCCACCTTTCGCCCCGATAACATCGCTCACTGCTTTTGATCGGTGGCGATAGTGAACACCGTCTTCCCTTCGTCCTCGGAGATCCTGAAAGAAAGCAAGGTCAAACTTGCTCTCCTCTGCCTTTTGAGTACATGTGGCATGGATGCCTGTTGTTTCGCGACAAAAGCGATGGAGGGTCTCTCACGTTGTCATGCCGGCCGGCAGCGCCACGTGTACATCTGTCTTCGGCTGTGAATCCTCCAGCACGCGTCAGGTGGGAGAGGTCTTTTGCCCTCTCTCTCCACGATTCAATCCAGGCGAGATTTATGGTCATGGCCAATAGGCAATTTTGGACCCTTTTGTCGGTGCCTGCATTTTAATAAATCTTCGAGAGTCGTTCAAGTTCATCTTTTCTATCTATTAAGAATTGCGTGGCGTGCGCACGCACGTGATAAAATGCGGACGTGCCCGGGTGCACATTCACACACCAGAAACTGCAAGTCACAGAATGCGCGAGGATGTGGCTGGCATTGTCATGTCGCCGTCTCTTGCATCCCCCAGCCCCCCCCCCTTTTTTTTTTTTTTTTTTGCAGTAACGGTTTTTAAAAAGGGTGCAAAATCGACAGACTATGACTATATATTGAATATATGCCATCTAAAAGGACAAAAATACTGTATATACATTAGTCGTCGTTGCAGTCAGGGCCAAAGTTAGAGCAGCCGCCTTGAAGGGGACATATGATGGAAAATTGGCTTTTTAATGGCTTGGACACAAAGAGCTGGGTCTTCAGAGTGCCTGCTCGACTGTTAAATTAAACAACCAAGTCAATCTTCTGCGATCTGCCTATTTCTAAACCCGTCTTCTCCGAGCGAGCTGTGCTGCCCCACTCCTGCAGGCTTATTTGCCCCAAATCAAGCCTGCGCAATTTCTCCTCCCGTGACACGATGGGCCAGGCTGGACCAAGAGCCAAAAGCACTTTCAAGCCGCGGAGTTACGCGAGAACCATTAAAAGCCGAGTTTTTACAAAGGCGGTTAACCGTTAGCGAGCCACACCCGTCATTTTTCTAAACGGAGTCTCCTTGAGGCGATCCGCCGAACACGCGGGTGCGCCCGATTGCTGCACCATCGGTGTGGAAAGGAGTGGTTGACTTCCTTTCATGGTAACATATGCCGCCGTCGTTAATCGATGCCCCAATAGTTAAATAAGGTGACATTGGGAAAGTGACGAGTCATTGCCGGTGTGGGAATTTCAACAACTGCAAGTGTTATTGATCGCTCACACATAACAAGAGTAAAAGAAATGACCTAAACCACCGATCACCGAGCAGACATAAAGACATCGCTACAGATGGGAATCGTGGGGCAAACAAAGCAAATTGATATCCTGCTATCAGGCCCTAAAACGTGTCAAATTTGAATCACGCCTGCTTAAATTCTCAGATCAATGATGTTCTATTCCAAAGCAACAAATGATAGTGTGATAGTGTTGTTGATCTTGCAAGTAAAAGGAGTCTGAAATCCTCCCCGGAGTGTAAACGCCGCTGTCATTGGGAGTCATCTGTCTTCCACACATGGTCGATCATCCGTTTTGTCTGAGTGCGTGTGCGCGTGTGTGTGTCTTGAATTGTGGATGAGCTCAACAATAGAATGACTCTGCAAAGTGTAGTCATTTACACTCCAGGTTCCCGGTACATCGACGCCTCAGTGGCGGTACGGTCGGAATATTTCCCATAAGACAGTCAAGCGTGGGCGAAGACGACTGCCATGACGTCGACTTGCAATGAGATCATTACAGACTATCGATACAGACAAACGGCCATTCGTTGAAATTCACGCAACATGAGGAGGCTTCAATTAACTTCCCAAAAATGTTTTGGGAACGCAAGGGGAAACAGGAGCAGCCTGAGCTACAAGCACGATGAGCTCATGCAAAGACCGCCCATGAATGACGGAGCCGAGATTCAAATCTTGAACCTCAGAACTGTACGAACGATGTGCTTAACCATCGTGTGTCCTTACAATACATTTTTTGCACTGTTCGAATCAACGTTTCTGTTTCTGGCATTAAAAAAAAAAAAAATCCATTTTTTTTGTATCATCCCCCCTTCCAATTATAAGCACGTCACTGTCTTGTGACTTAAAGCAAGATATTCAAATCCTCCTTGGCACAAAATGCAAATGCCACATTGAATGTGGGATAAAAGCGACACTTTGATGGTCAAACAGAGCAGCTTAAGCAGTCGCACCCGAGGTTGACGCCACGTATTCTGGGGTCAGGTTGTCCATTACAGTGTCAAAGTTCTGCAGGTGGCCTGCTGACCCTGAAGATTCTGCTGCTTCAGAGATACCGGCCCTGAAATTAACAACTCGCCCGTGTCTCTTCCATCTCCTTCACCCGACCGCCTCCTCTTCTTATCCACCCCCCACCCGCCCATCTCTATCTTTCATCATCACCTCCTTCAGTTCATTGATTTCTTCTTTTTTATTTTGAAAATCAAATCTTCTTTTTGGCCTCCTCTTTTCATGCAGACATATCACAATATGCTAAACGGCACTCCATTGCCTCGTCAATCAGGGCAACGATTACGGTAATGGAAACGGTATTCCATATCTCTTGCGTTGTGAAAAATCTGAAATCTGCGTTGAACACGAAGGGAGACATTGTTCCACAAGTTTAGTTGTGGCGTATTAGTCGATCGTATCGTCGTTTATTCACGTTTGGGTATCGCACTTGATTCTATTCCAAGTGCTGAAGGAGCGATGGGGTTGTCCTTCGATGTCACTGTGGGTGGGCGGGGTGAGCGGGGTGGCAGCTGAATTTCACAGCCTGGTGGTAAAAGCTGTTTTTGAGTGTCATGGCTCCAGATTTTATCGTCCTGTAGCATCTTCCAGAGGGAAAGTGAGCGTCTGGTACGGGAGTGGTCCTTCATAATTCCACAGGAGTCTGTCTGTGTAAATGTCTCGGGAGCAGGTGGGGGTGTCGATCCAATCACCCACTCTGTTGCTCTCACGACCCACTGTAGGTTTCTCCTGTCTTTCACAGTTGGCTACAGATAGGCTGAAATTGCTTTGCCTGCACTGATTGATTGTTTGTCATTTCATAAACAAAATCAACATTTTTTTTTCCCCCTTCATTTTCCCCTACACCCCTCGCGATCGACTTTGGACCTGTCTGCAGGCTATTGGGCGATCGCGATCGACGTATTGTGCAACCCTTTATGGATGAAGCTTGTATGCCTGTCCCAATATTAGATTTTAGTTTAGACAGATATGAGATTGTCTTTCGTGGAAGTCTGTATGGATGTAAGGCTTTGTGGATGTCTATCAAACAGCTGGTTGCTGGGTGGTCTCAATTTCTGGTATGACTTCATCTATCAATCAATTCTACGCGGTCGTCAGACTTCTTAAAGTTACGGGTCCCAAACATTTGGAATCCTGGAAAACAAAAAGATTTTGACCGTGCCTAAATGCCACTCTCTCTCGAGCCCAAATGTGGTCTCTGAAAATGCCTTATGCCATTTTATCATGAACAAAAATCGGTTTTCCTTCATTTACAACTTCTCATTTTCCATAATTATTTCTGCAGCAAATAAATGAACAAACATTGATAATTCACGAAGTACTTAATCAAGACATTCACAACTTGGTATTATGACACATTTTGTACCAATTAACATCACACTTCTGAAAAATAATCATATTTGGGAGCCTTTGACGCAGTCAGCAGTGCTACCAACGGTCTCCAATCAGGTGCCGTGAGCAACGAGCAGTTAATTGAGCGTCATTGAGCTCACAGTTCGCAAAAATATAGTGACTCTAAATCGATCACATTCACGTTACAAAGTGTTTAATTAGTTAAACGGTGCTGTTGAAGTACTTTTCTAAACATGACTAACCTGAAAAAAAGAGGCAAGGCGCAGAAGGGCTGAAGACACGAACCAATCTCTTTCGATCCCGAGTTTCCTGTGAAGGGAGGGGGAGTGAGTTCCCTCACTTAACTAGGAACCCGGGCGCAACAACACGCCAGAACAAACGTTCCGTTCTTGATATTTCTCCCAACATTTCTCAAAATGATTTTGAAAAATTGACATTCGCTCAGAAAATAAATTCTGGGTTCAAAAAGGCTCCCATCAACAACATATTTGCGACCACATATTTTTGAGAGTCACATTAACAATCAAATGAATCTGTCAACATACCAATAGGTAGACTGCTGTCCCGAGCACTGCCAAGTTTCAATCATGATTAATCAAGATGGTGCTGTAGTTGGCAGCCGTCTGCGAGAGCTCTTCAAGAATTGCACTTTTGTTGTTGTTTTTATTTATTTTTGTCACACGGTGTTTGTTTTGTCCTTCGTGTGGACCCGTTGTGGACTCTTTTCAGCGTTTCGGCCACAACATTGTCTGCAGCATGGATGTACCAGGGACTGATTTTGATGGGGCCAAAGTTGGTGCTATTTTACCGTTGATCACGGGGCACTGCCACATCAGATATGGCAGACTCACTCACGACCAGAAAAAGAAGAGTACTCAAATTTAGATATGAGAAAAAAAAAATGGAAGTGAGATTGCCTTGGCTTCAGAATAAATTATTGCATTTATGGATTGTTTTTGTACTGTGGGTGGCAGGGGAAGATTTTGGGAGATTCCCGAACGGCCGCTCCATTCCAGGCCGCAACTGGTCCGTATCAGGACCATTCCAACCCGATGAATAGGTTTTGTCGCATGTCAGCAACTATCTGCGATGCCCTCCACCCCAAAATCAAGTGAATGCATCACCGGACAAAAAGCATTTGCGAATATAATCATTTATTTCCACCAGTCCGAAAAATGTACATGACTGTTCTGTCAAGATATAAAATTTGCATTAAATAAGTTTTCTTTTTCATATTCATGGCAATTCATTATTGAATGAAAAACCCTGATTTTATCTGAACACAATTCAGACATCACAAATCATCAGAGAGCACAGGAAGAGTTAGGCAGTTAGCAAAGGCCGTCCAGCAGTTTGCAACCTGATTTCATCTGAGGGTGATGCTCATTCGAAAACAAAAACAAAAACAACAACTTTAAAAGTCTAAAACGGACACACAATAAGAGCTTATTTAAAAGTTCATGGAACGTTTTGATCATTGATGACTTCAGAGGCTTGCTCTTTTTTTCCTATTTCAGCAGAGCACTCTGTTGCTACAATTGTTGCTTTTACTGGTGTTGCGGCACCCTTTGTTTTCCCGCGAATTGGAAGCTTCCCTAACGTTAGAGCCGGTGTGACGTCACCCAGGGGAAGGACTTGTCTGAAGAGGAACGTTACAACCATTTGGTTGGTTTGTTGTTTCGGTCCAGATGAAGAAGATGGTAAACCTGAGGCTGGTGAACGGAACATCGTCTGCAGCATGGATGTACCAGGGACTGATTTTGATGGGGCCAAAGTTGGTGCTATTTTACCGTTGATCACGGGGCCCTGCCACATCAGATATGGCAGACTCGCTCACGACCAGAAAAAGAAGAGTACTCAAATTTGGATATGAGAAAAAAAAATGGAAGTGAGATTGCCTTGGCTTCAGAATAAAATATTGCATTTATGGATTGTTTTTGTACTGTGGGTGGCAGGGGAAGATTTTGGGAGATTCCCGAACGGCCGCTCCATTCCAGGCCGCAACTGGTCCGTATCAGGACCATTCCAACCCGATGAATAGGTTTTGTCGCATGTCAGCAACTATCTGCGATGCCCTCCACCCCAAAATCAAGTGAATGCATCACCGGACAAAAAGCATTTGCGAATATAATCATTTATTTCCACCAGTCCGAAAAATGTACATGACTGTTCTGTCAAGATATAAAATTTGCATTAAATAAGTTTTCTTTTTCATATTCATGGCAATTCATTATTGAATGAAAAACCCTGATTTTATCTGAACACAATTCAGACATCACAAATCATCAGAGAGCACAGGAAGAGTTAGGCAGTTAGCAAAGGCCGTCCAGCAGTTTGCAACCTGATTTCATCTGAGGGTGATGCTCATTCGAAAACAAAAACAAAAACAACAACTTTAAAAGTCTAAAACGGACACACAATAAGAGCTTATTTAAAAGTTCATGGAACGTTTTGATCATTGATGACTTCAGAGGCTTGCTCTTTTTTTCCTATTTCAGCAGAGCACTCTGTTGCTACAATTGTTGCTTTTACTGGTGTTGCGGCACCCTTTGTTTTCCCGCGAATTGGAAGCTTCCCTAACGTTAGAGCCGGTGTGACGTCACCCAGGGGAAGGACTTGTCTGAAGAGGAACGTTACAACCATTTGGTTGGTTTGTTGTTTCGGTCCAGATGAAGAAGATGGTAAACCTGAGGCTGGTGAACGGAGGAACTGCAGACAGAGGCACAGAATGCAATTATCGTCAGTGCGTGCAGTATAATCAACCGAGTTCAAATTACACACACACACACACACACACACACACACACACACACACACACACACACACACACACACACACACAAAAAAGGAGCCTTCATCACACACTTTTATATTTTCATGAATTGTAGAAAACATCATTTGGAGGTTAATTGGAAAAAATAAAATCATCATACTGGTATGGATCCATCCATAATTGAATCCCATCGCATCCATTGTAATGTGAATTCCGATCATCGTAACTTGTATGAACTTATTACCGTGCGACAAGTCGTGTAAACCAAGCAGAGGGAGCCCCCAACGGCTGAAATTCAAATGACTCTCAATGCATTATTTCCCCGACCTTTGCAGGTTTTCAAGAACAACACACTTGTACCATTCCAGGCAGCGGTGGAGTCGAATGAGTCAGCCTACTTTACACGTTCATACATATTGCACTCCAAACCACTCCAGAAACATCAATCGATGCGTGGGTGTGACAACTAAACGTTTCTCTGCTATCCTCCATTAAAATTAAAAGGTAAACTCGAGAGGAAACTTGTTTGTGCCCCAGAAAGTAACTCTTTCCTCTACTTTTAACGCTCCACTCGAACCCAAATGACTTCATCAAACGCATAAAAGGCATTTCGTGAAAACACTCTGTACAGACAGTCAGGAGACGTATTCTGGAACAATAAACCGACGCTTCTCAGGGGCAGGGTGGTGGGTGGTGGTGGGGAGTCAAATGAATGTGGAGCGCCTTCGCGCTAACCATTAGCTTCCCCATTAACCCTCCGACACCTCCTCGCCGCGAGTGCATTAACGGTGGTTGGGCTATAATTACAGTTGCTTGTCTCTGGGCTCTCTTAAGAAATATAAAAACTGCTCCGTCTTCAGTGAAGTCCGTTTGGTGCCATGTCAAACAATTTTCTCCCGAATCTCGAAATGTAAAGCGCTCATTCAAGTAGGAATGAGAGCTCTGAATTCCCCCAATGTAAGAAATCACTCGGCATTTGGAACGTTTTCCACCGATTCAATGCACGCTGACCGATTCGGGTGTTTCGTTTTCAACTTCTTGTTTGCGATGAGGCGTTTTCTTTTGAACGCAATGAAACCTGCGTCACGGTTCCGCTGGAACGCTCCATTGTTTTTCTTTGGTAGCTTGCCATTGTCTCTGCAGCGTAATATTTCCTCGGCCCCGTGTTTCAATCATTTCAAATTTAAGAGCGAGAATACCCCGCAGAGTCTTAATGACTTCCTAATAATTACCAAAGCCCGATAATCTGCCGCTCCATCGAGGCAATTCAGATGACTGACAGCAGACATGCACTCGGTGGTTATCAGTCTTTATGAAAGGCTTTGGAAGGAGATAATTCTTGTCGACGGCCACTAATTACTAAGCTGAGAAATGCTGCGGGAGTCTGAATCAGCTGCTTTTGGAAAGAACAGGATGCGCAGAGAGTAATCTCCCTCTCGCACAAACGCACCGAGCGTGAATAGTTGACACTGTTTTCCTATCAAAAGAGGCTCCGTCTTTTCCAAGTCAGCAGCGGGCATCTTAGTCTCCATCAGATAAAAAGCCAGCCTGCGCATTTAAAAGAAAATCCAGGCATTTAGTGCAAACGTCCTCAACCCCCCTTTTTTCCCCCCAGAGACAAAAGAAAAGATTGATTCACGTTATTGTCGTTTCCATACTATTTAATGGGAAACTCGTAAACGAACGGTAAGTGTATGCTAATGGTTTACTAATATCATACTAGACTCAATGGGACTTGGGCGTACCGATTATTTATCTGGACAATTTCTAAACTGAAGCGATGGGATGACAAAATGAGACGGGAGAATTGGACACGTCGTTTCCTTTCAAACTCAGCTTGTAGCCAATGTGAGGTGATGTCATGCACGCCCCGAGATTACAACTTCTGTGGCTCGGCCGTTGACAGCGGCGAGTCCAGTGGCGGCACACTGGTCAATTTTCATCTACTCACAGCTTCGCACGTGTGTAACAAGAGGGAAGAAAAGTCTGCACTTCCCAAGGTAAAGGGAGCTCTTGTACAATTTTATTTCGTTGATTGGAGCTTACGTACAAAACTCTGTGACAGCTACGATTGGTGTTAAAATGCAATCTTAATAAAGCCTAGTTGTACTTTACTTTTTACTTTTTTACTTTTTACTGTAGCAAAAAAAACCATTGAGTCCAGAGCTCACCCACTTGGCTGCTGTTCCTACTGATGTCTTAATTAGGGATGCAAACACTTTCTGCGGTGATTAAAACAATGACACTGAGCTTTTTTCTCGTTATTGTTGTTAATGCAGCATTGACGCAGTGCTGGGATGGCATTGCCACCAACCGGGTTCTCTCTCCAAGACAGAGCGCACCATAATCAATCACGAGAAATGGTAAGAACCAGCGGAACCTTCAAAGCAACGTAAATACCGTCAGAGAGCGGGAAGCAACAAGCAGACTTTTCGCAACGGGATCCAAACAGGGTGTGATTACGGCCAAGATTTAAAACTCTTGTTACACAACCCAGGAGACACCCATTAGCTGGCCACTGCCCACTCTGGTCCAGCTATAAAAAGCCATTAGTAATCACTCCTCGACTCTCAGCGGCTCTTTTACCCAATCGAATTCCAACCAGCCAATCTGCATAAATCTGCATTAATCGACTATTTCCCCTCCACAGAAAACAAATGTGCTTTAAAAACTCCTTCTTATCTGTCGGCTTTTCGAGTAAACAGCGCACGCACACACACACACACACACACACACACACACACACACACACACACACACACACACACACTCCATTTAACAACACACACCGCTTCTGTCTACTGCCAATGGATCACACCAGATGTGCCACAAGACCAAGGGCTTTTAATTAAATCTATTTAGGGGGAAACCGAGTTGCATATGTTTACACACCCTCACGCTAAATACTGTTGTGCAGCACCTCTGGCTGAGAGTACATCTCTCACAGTTTCTGTGTCGGAGTCTCGGTGTGAGGAGTGTTTGAGCAGGAGGAGTTTTCTTTTGAGTTTTTTTTAGAGGTTTGTTCCACTACCTTGCGCGGCTTCTGCCGCTATTGATTCATGACAGGTTTGTGGCTGTTTTTGATGCCATGGCGACTGCCGAGATGCGTCGACAAATAGTCATGTTCCCTTTCTATTTCACTTGACATTTGCAAAGGCTGTTTGCGGCCAAGTGCCTTGTCAAGACGATCTCCTTCCTTACGAAAAGTGTTGCCACAGAAATGAACGCCGATCTTAAAAATATCCTCCTTCCTCGCCGTCATGATCTTTGGTGATCTATTTGCCATTTTTGATTCGCCATTTTTTTAAACCTCTTTATTTAAACCAACAGTGCCATTTAGAAGAGTCCTCCCAAAAATGACAACTGGTTCATGAAGCAAATTTAAAGCTTCATTTCCCCATGACAGCTCAGTCCCATACCTCAATCCCATTGAAAACCTTGGAAGGGGTCTAAAGGGCCAAGTGCAGAGGAGAGGATCAGGTCGCTAGATGATTTAGACTAAATTTTTCAGCGATTGGGCAAAGAATAATGGTGGAAGATCCCCCTCTCCCGTGGCCAGCTCAGTCCCGCGACCTCAATCCCATTGAAAACCTTGGAAGGGGGCTAAAGAGCCAAGTGCAGAGGAGAGGATCAGGTCGCTAGATGATTTAGACTAAATTTTTCAGCGATTGGGCAAAGAATAATGGTGGAAGATCCCCCTTTTTTGTAATTGACCATCTTATGAAACATTACAGGAGAAGATTAGGTGCCGTTTTATTGGCAAAAGGGGGTTGGACAAAGAATTAACATCAGCGACTCTAAATTTTTGAGCGATTGGGCAAAGAATAATGGTGGAAGATCCCCCTTTTTTGTAATCGACCATCTTATGAAACATTGCAGGAGAAGATTAGATGCCGTTTTGTTGGCAAAAGGGGGTTGGACAAAGAATTAACATCAGGGGTGGAACACTTAGTTCGGGAAAAAAATGAACTTAGTAGAAGCGAAGGAAAACACCGTCACCAGGGGGGCCAACAATTATGGAGGCCAACATAAATACAGATAACACATGTTGATTCTTTTTTTTTTCATTTCAGATAACGAGCAAATACAATAAATTGAAAATTATACAAGGAGGAGCGTTTTTTTTTTTTAAATACACAAATGTGACCTTTGACCGAATCTTCATGCAGCATGTTTGTGATAAACGCTTTTTTTTTCTAACCAACAGAATTATACCTGGACGTTTGGTTGGTTGTGATTGGTGCCCTGCAAAATCAATGTTCTATTTCACATCCTGCATGTCAATAAATTGAAAATTATACAAGGAGGAGCGATTTGTTTTTTAAAATACACAAATGTGACCTTTGACCCCATCTTCATGCAGCATCTTTGTGATAAACGCTTTTTTTTCTAACCAAGAGAATTATACCTGGACGTTTGGTTGGTTGTGATTTGTGCCCAGCAAAATCAATGTTCTATTTCACATCCTGCATGTCAGTGTTTTCCAGTCTCCTAGGTCAGCCTTGGAGGGCAACGTCAATCAGTGGGATTTACATTGTCGGCACAGCAGAAGTGGAAGGGACATGGGGTTGTATCTCCTTGCTTACCTTGAACGTCTGCACGCTGCTCTTGATCATTGCTTGTTTGGTTTGTGTAATTCATCTTGTATCCGCTTGCCGTGCTTTTCGTTTGTTCCTTCATTGTTGGATGCAGTACTTCTCTGATTTCTGCATTTATTAATCATGGCGGGCACAGTTTTAATTTAAATTTATTTCCTGCAATCGACTGTTTTAATGACTCTAAAAGATCCATTTAAAGTTTTCTAGAATTGTAACTAAGGCTGGGCCAAAAATATCCTGGGGCTGCGAAGGTTGAAAAAGAAATGGAGCTGAAACTTAACCATCCCTTGGACTATTTGGTCTAAACAATTTGAAGGAGTATCTGTCCAACGGGCAGAGTAAGAAGAGCAGGGCAGGGAGAGAGAAAAGGAATGAGAGCGATTTAGGATGACGAGCACATTCAGAGGGAGGCAGAGGGAGAGAATTGGAAATTAATGGAGGAAAGAGATAAGAAAAAGGGGGAGCACGGGAGGCGTAAATGCTGGAGGGAGTGAGGAGATATCAGAGGAGGCTGAGGGAGGAGGGGTTGAAAATAGCAAAAGAGTGGCGGCGATGGAAAAATAAAGACAAACAAAATAGTGACAATCTGTGAGTCTGCAAGGATGACATCAATGGTGGAGAAAACAAGAGGTTTCGGAAACCAAATAAGTCAATGAAAGAAAATGGGGGGGAGGGGGAATAAAGTGAGATTAGGAAAATGGAAGGACAGAAATCAGAATACATCCAACGGCCAGGAAATATTAGCGGGAAGAGCTTGAGGGAAGAAAAGGAGTGAAAGCCAGAGAGGAGCGGAGACGGACGTATTCTAATGAGTCTGCTCTAATGGCTCGAGCCGACTGTTGGTTGGCTCTGCTCTGCTGGTCCACTGGACTGACAGAGCCCCACTTGGAGACGGTGTCGGTTCGAGTGCGTCTCCACAGTGCCCCCTGTCGTCACGCATGCATATTTGAAGACCGCTTGAATGAACGTTCCAATATGCAGCTCATCCCCATTCATGTTATGTCCGGAAAACATGCTGCATCATTTGTTTAGTGGATGTACGTCGTTCTTCCAACATATATACCGGTATATATTTTTTGTCACGGATTTCGACTGCAACATTATGCATGAGCTAAATTGAATTCAAACTGGATTGAGCTGAACTAACAATCGATGAAATCAAACGTGTGTACCGCACATCAAGTCCTTCTTTGGAGGAAAATTAGGCCAAATTTCATGAACATTTTATCGAATGACAATGCGCGATGGTGAAAGCGACGTGCTGCAGCAGATGTATCGGCAACACTGCTTAGTATCTGAACAACTCTAATTAGCTCCATTTGCACTGCCGCTTTGATTTGACCCCCCGCCTCGCCGCATGAGTTTTGAACCGCATCAAGCAGTCGCTGTCATTGGAAAGGCTCTCGAGGCACAGTCAGCCACCTGCTCCACACCAAAGTGCCACAGTCACAGTCAGAGAGAGTCCACAGGGATTAAAAGTGTCACGATTGTGTTTTTGTGTGTCTCCAGCAGGTGGCACATCTGCTGCTAATCAGAATCATCCATATCTTCAATAGATAGGGGCATTCTGTCCCGACATATAAATGTGCGTGCATGCGGGCCTGCGTGTGCGTGTGTGTGTGTGCGCGCGCGCCTAAACTCACTGAAGGTTGAGGAAGACCGCTGTAAATCTTATATTATATTTAATCCACATGTGAAAATCCTCCTAAGCAGTAATAGAAACATTCCTTGAGTAAGATTGAGCCTCTTACCGGATTTGTTCATCGGTCACGGTGAAGGCCTTACAGAGCGGCTGGGACGTGTTCAGCCAGATTGCCGGGTTCTTCTCAGCCGCCGCAGATGTCTGTCCCGTGATGGGAGCGGAGCTCATGTGGAGAGCACTCGCGATGGCCGACAGCAGAGTCTCATCACTCGAGTTCAGACCAACACCTGCAGGGGCGGAAAGTTACCAAGTCAGCGTCTAAAATCACAGGACCGGGGGTTGTGTTTTGTCAACTGACTCTGTAGGACTTTCGGTAGGTCCATCGTTCGTAGAACTTCCTCTGAGACATCCGATGATCGCAAACCTTTCAACCTCCTCTCCCAAAAAAGCTGCAAAGACACAGTGGCCGAGAGAGAGTTGAGTGACGGTGAAAAATGAACACAAAAAATGCGCTCAGAAGTAGGGAAATTACAATACGTTTATTTGACAGTAACCTTCGCACGGGAATGACAAACAAATTCTAGCAAGCTCACTTGGTCTCTTGGGGTAGCATCTAGCGCAAATAAGCATTTACAATGCACCGGCGGAGGAGAAACTTGGCACAATACACTACATTTCAGTGGACTCAAAGTTAATGGTTTTTCATTTTTTAAATGAGTAAACAAAAAAAGTATCAATATCTGATATGATATGATATGAAATACTTTTTACGACTTATCAATCGTGATTTAATATCTGATATAATATGAAATACTTTTTACGACTTATCAATCGTGATTCTACTTTTCAGTCATATCGCCCGGCACGAGTACATACTGAGATGTCATTTTTGGCAGACCATCACACCCCGCGCCACTTGTCACTGTTATAACTCGCACCCGAAGAGCAAACGCAACCACAGAGTGGAGCACAATGAAAACAAGTTCAATCTTCCTGTCCTCCACCCTGCGACGCTGCCATTTCTCCTTCCGCGCAAACGCTCTTCAGCAATCTCTGCCAAGGAAAGCCTGTATTGCCTGTTCTACTGCCTTCAATCTGGTGTTTGGGTAACGCCATTTTATTAATATGCCAGACAGGATCGAATCTACATTCATGAAATATTCTCAAGAACACATTATTTTTTTTTTTTCCCTTTAGGTCAATTGTCAAAGAGGGCAAAAGCACAGATGGGTTTATACTGAAGTTTTTAATGGAGATAAAAAGGAAGCCTTGGCTATCGAATTCAGTCATATTTTAGCATTTCAGACAACGATATTTCACACAGATAAGCTTCAACAGATAAAAGTAGACCACATGCAGAGTGAGAGAGAGAGAGAGAGAGAGAGAGAGAGAGAGAGAGAGAGCGCGAGAGCATTTTTACCTGTCTGGGCTGCTCAGTCGCTCTCTGCAGGTCTGTCTTTACCTTGTTTCCCGGGTGACTTGTAACCTTGGTAACAGGCTGTTTAAAGATGGATGCCGTCTGTCTGATGGGCAGAGTCGTGTTCAGGTCAGGCTTACCTCCCTACAGAGAAGGAAGCCGTGTTGGCGCATCAGTGGATGTTTGTTTCCTTGCACATTCCTTATTATTCTGAAAAGAATTTGGTTTTGCCATCCGCACTCATCCACAGGAAATAAATCAAACTGTTTCTGAAAAAAAAATTGTCTGTTTGAATACAACTACAGCATAACCGGTGGAGTGGTTTTAAAGTTGGGTGTTTTTTTTTTTCCTGTGTCATTGTCCATTAGGTGACAAAATATATCCAAACAATACGATGTGGTGAGAGTATGTTTGTAAGTTTTTTTAATTCCCTTACTGCGCTTGTTTTGTTCTCGTGAGCAACCCCACGCACACTGCGCTGCGCAAGCCGGAAGCGTACGTGTTTAGAAGCATGTCAGCACACATGCCTGACATTAGAGCTTGAACTGGAACAAAAGGGACAGGAAATCCGGCTTTCCGATTGGCTGTCCTTTAACCTTGTAAAACCGCGTGTGCCAGTAATGACATCTCAAGTGAGTGGACGTGGAACTTTTGGGATTGAATACCGTCATGAAGAATGTTTTGCGATGTCTTGGTTTGGTTCAGCACGAATGCAATGCTAATCTGATAATCTGGTGACACGCAGCTACTGAAGCACCCGCACCAAGGAGCTCAAGGCGTGTTACCTTCGCCAGGCTGAGTTGGTCATGTCGGAGTCTCTGTTTGCTCTTCTGCAGTTTGCCAGGCATCATCTTCCCCGTCCGGAAGTCGAAACATGCCAAGTCCACTTTGTTTCCAAGGTAACGCGACAGCTGAGGTTTACTCCGGAACTTTTTCCCTGTTGGACTTAATGCATGAAGACAAATGGAGAGTGTCAGAAAGACGCATTTGCTTGAATCTGGTCAACTGTTCAAATGGAATCCTTCACACACATTTCTTGATCATTCGCCAGCAGTATGATTCCCTCCCCGCAAAAGTTAAATGGCAGTTTCGCAGAAGCGAGTTGGAATGCGCAATTTCGACTTGCATTTGGATTTGCAGCGGCATGTAAGCAGAATTGCCACAAACCAAACAATAGCACATTACCAATGAATTCTTGCAAGCAATAAGAATTTGATCGGGAGCGTTCCTGATGGTTCAGGAAAAGGCTGTGTCATAAATAGATGAAGACCCTTTAAGCCTTTTTCTGCTCGTTCTCTATAAAAGGCACCGACATCATAATGCGGAACGAACTCACATTCCCAATATTCCGCCTTTGGAAGAAGAACCCCGGAAGGACGCGCATGTAAAGGCCAAATGCCGAAATGGCTGACCAAACAAATCCCGTTCCCCGGGCACCGCTCTAACTTTTCCCACCTTGCTATGTTAAAAGCAATACAAAAAAAAGCAAAGTCGCCTTGAACAGATCTCCTGTTATGACTCGACTCTGATGTGAATGGAACCCTGAATCTATTTATTACCTGTGAGGCAGACATACAAGCCACTCAAATCTTTGCGTTGCCCTGTCCGACAAGACAACAAAAAAGGGAGATGGGATGGCGTTAAAGGCTGCGTTTTTTTTTTTTAATAATCCATCTCATGTAACTCATCAACATGGGTTAAAATCTCATGTCGTCACACCTTTTTCTTGGCCTACGTTTTTCACATTTCTCAATCAACAATTGTGACACCATGTGAAGAAAATGTGAAGAAAACATCTGCCGACTCGATGAGCTGTGGTTGAGTTTCATTACTCTTCCAGTAAGTCAACCTGCTGACTGGTTTCCTGACTGGAACTGATGAGTCATATTCCAAACCAAACTGAAAGTAAAGCCGAGACACATCTCATGATGTACTTCAGCTTGCAGACTGAGGAAGTGACGGAGCACAGATGTTTGTGACACGGAGCTCAGTCTGAGCAACAGGAAGTGACCGCAGGCGTTGTTTGCAGCTATTTTCCTTGTACTTGATTGACTTTGCCCATGACGTTGGCCTTGTTTGATAAAAGTCATTTGTGCTTGTATGAGAAGTGAGCAGCCTTTTTTTTTTTTTGACCTCCTCTTTGAGAAAGCTTCAGGACTGATTCTAAAACGTCCAATTCTAAGTGCCTTTACTTTACCCACAAAAGTTGTTCAGCTGTTTTTGCTCTTTACTTGCAGCCGGTCAGCGGCGACTGCGGAATTTCACACCACTAAATATGTAATAGTGCTGTTTAAAATAAAACCTCGCTGAATAGTCGCAGTACATATTCTGTTTTAGAGTCTCGAGCTGTAGCCACTTCTATGAGAGGGTCAAAAATGAGGGCACCGTGTCAGCAGCAGGGAGTGTTCCACTTAGTCGGGGTATGACGCTTTAACCAGTCAAGTACATTCGTTATGACAGTTTACTGATGCAGTCATTCAATATCATAAAACTATACGCACTCGACACGGGTTGATCCAGAAAAGGTGAGGGGGATATATTTCAATAGTTACACGACTCGTCATCATCGGCTGGTACTGTTGAGAACTACTAAAAGGCTTATTCGAAACTAATCGTGACGTTGACTGAGTTTACTCCACAGTAGTCATTGATCCGTAAGGGCAGATGATCCGGTTCCGACACTTTGTCCGTGGCTGACCACTGACCAAGAGTTGAGGCAGGACAGTAGTACCTGTAGTAATAGACGTCGCTTTTCCCGGCGCTCAAACCGGACTTCCTGATCACTTCTTCCTTCTTCCAGCCGGGTGGCAGAGCCGGACAGTCCGACCTCCTCTTCTCCATCAGCACACACTTATCGATCCCAGGATTCAGATCCGTTCAAGTCAACTGATCTCTCAGTGGCCCGGCAGTCAAACTGTGGAGGCAGAACGGCCAACCCGGAGGCGCAGGCGCCTACGTCACAGATGTTACGTTATTGCCGGCTCGCCCTGCCTCCACCCTGACTGTTTGTTTTGGGTTACGTGAAAGAAAAGTGGCCCGCGTGGACTGCCGCTGCCACAGAAACGGGCTTCTCTCTTGAATATGCTTCAGTTTACCCCCCGACCCCACTAAAGAATAAGACAAGGTCCGGTGAGGTCCGAGCTGGGCTAACGGCGGGCTGTGAGACCGTGACGTCTATCTCGCTCGATCGCCCTCTCGGAGATCTTCTATTAAGACAGACTAATCACTTGGTACTCCATTTGATCTCATTCCAATAATAGACTATTGGCAATAGTGAACAAAGCAAGCGGCAGAACAACTGCGCGAGTAGAATGGATGATTCGTAGGGGGGGGGGGCTAGTGTGCCGCCAGCGAGCGGCGTTGGCCACCTTCAAAATAAAAGAGCCACCACTCATGCATAAACGTCATTTGTTCGGGTTAAAATATATGAATAAAAACATAAAATAAGTAATTTCTTGGCTGTCAGCTAACGATACGTTCACCCCGGAACAACAAGAACTCTCACAACAGCACAAAAAAGCGTTCTCAAGTGGAGAAAATAAAGTCAATGGTAAATCTACATCAATTTCACCTGATATTAAAAAAAATAATAATAATTAAAGAAACTAATCTGGGTGATAGCGCAACCACACCAGGTTGTCGACACACTAGGGCATGCCAGGTACACAACCACAGTACAGGCATTCAGATCGAATGTTCCATTACCAATTAAAATGCCTCTCAAATATGACATTTTGAATTCCTCTGCTTATTTCAAAAGATTCTTGAAAATGAATTTCAGTTATCCCTCAATTAAACCAGACCTGCAGGACACTAGATAGAGCACTGCAGGTATCCAACAAGACCATTCGGATCTGATGTCGGCCTCTGAAATGTGACAAGATGGCCTGCGTTCTGACATGACTTGCATTCTAACATGTTGATCTTTTTGCCCATTTATAGAACATCCGAAAAGAAGGAATCCAGCACCCCGGCTCTCCACCCAGACCACCCTCGTCCGGATCAGATGTTGCATTTTGAAATAAAAGGCCTCTGAAAACTGGCATGTTGACCTGATTTCTGACAAGTTGATCTGAACACATTTTCAACGCACGTTCCCTAAAAATTTAGCTTCCGTTATCCCGTGAGGGCTGCATGTCTGGGGATAACTACAGCATTCCAGCTTTCCAACGCGACCACTCCCATCTCAATCTGATTATGCATTTGGGAATCACAGCCCTCTGAATTGTGGCAAGATGACCTGGGTCCCAACATGTTGACATTTTCAACCATTTTGAAAAAATTCCTAAAAATATCGCCTCCGATATCCTGTGAGGGATGCATGTCTGGGGACAACTACAGCACTCCAGCTTTCCAACGCGACCACTCCCATCTCAATCTGAT